TTTTTTTTTTTTTTTTTTTTGAAAATTCGATTTTCTTTACGGCAACCTTAAATTTGATTAGGTGTTAGTCTTTCTTGCTATCGGCACACGTTTTGACCCCGTGGCCCGTGGGGGTAACGAAGTGCTGCCGAAATTTTCTAATTTTCTCTTACTTAGTCTTTTTCGGCACACTTCGACCCCATGGGGGTAATGAAATGCTGCCGAAAATTCTAAAAAAATAAGTATAATTTCTCTCTTCATATTTTCTTTCCTTATTTCTTTAATTATTTTTATTATTTATTTATTTTCTTTGTTTTTTTTCCTCAAAATTTCACTGTTTATTTATTTTCCTCCCGCCTCCCCCCATGCTTGCTATTTTCTTTTCATGATTAGGTTACCAGTACCCTACCCTAACACTCAAACTCCGGTTAGGGTTTTCTTAGGGGTTTTCTAGGGTTTAGGGTTCTTCAAACCCCCCTACTTTCCCGTCCTATTCGGGCACCCTGGACCCGAACCACCCCTCCCCCTTTGACGGCGTCCGCGCTAGCCTTGCTAGCGCTGTCCGCCGCTTTCTACCGCAGACCCCCCCCTACGTCCTCCGCTGACGCGGACCTCCTCTTGCCCCCTCCAGTTCGGCCCGTCACCTCCCCATGGCCGACGGTGTGTCACACGCCGCCGACGCGGCGACGACCACGGCACCGGGCTCCACACCCGTGTCGGCGGACCAGGGCCATCTGCACACCCTCATCACCTCCCTCCTCGCGCCCATTCAGACACAACTCGCGATCCTCATGCCCTTACAGGCGCAAGTGGCGACCCTTGCCGCCGGCATGCAGCAACTCCAGGACGCTGTCTGTCCTTCATCTCCTGGCTCCCAGTCCGGGTCCCAGTCCTCCAACAGGGTGGCCACGGTGGACCTTCCTCCTCCGCTGCCCCCGACCCAACCATCTTGGTGGTCCACGCCCCTAGCACGACGGTCGCCACGAGGCAGACCCTCCCTCAGTCTACGGGCACACCTTCCCAGATTCCGGTCACTATGGCCATGGAACCACAACCCGCTACCATGGTCTCAGTTTTTTCGGGTACCCCGCTTCTCCCTCCCCTTCGCACGACCGCAGCGCCACCTAGCTCCTCCCCCTTTGGGATGCCCCGCGCCGCTCGTGCGTCCACCTCCCCCACTCATCATCCTGCCACTCCTCGCTCGATCTACGCGCAACGTTTCGAGGACGAGCTTGCCCAGACCCGGGCCGACCTCGCCCTCTTACGCCTTCAACCACCCCCACCTCACAGGTGGTCGCGCCTTCGGGCGCACCCCCTCCTTCCTCTACCCTTCTTTCCATGCAGGCTCGCTTCCCTCGCCCTGCACCCTATCCAGGCCCATCCTACCTTCTTCATATTCCCCCGGTTGATGCGACCTCTTTTACCGCAGCTCCCTCGCAACCTGCCGCTGTTGCCCCCCCCGCTCCCCCATGCGGTCCGGGCGCACAGTCAGCTGCGCCCCTTTCTCCAGGACCTGCGCCGACTTACTCAGCCGCGGCATAGGCCCCTGCTCCTCGATCCCCTCGCCGCCAAAACGGTGGCCCACCAGTCGTCCACTTGACAGACATTGCCTTGTATGACAGTACAAGCATACCTGTGTCTCGGTGGCTACAGTCTGCCACCCGCACCCTCCAGCTCATGGGCGCCCCACCTGACACGTGGGTGGGTCACCTCTCCGTGCACATGCGTAGCGGTCCTTTTGACGCCTGGGAGGATTTCTACGCTTACTCCCTTCATGCGGGTCGAACTCCGACCTTCATGGATTTCCAGGCGTTCCTCGAGGATCGCTTCGGAGCTCGACATGACGTGACTGACGCCTTCGAGGGTGTCGTCACTACACGCTGGTCCGGCTCTAGTGGCACTGCTGGCCTGGATCGCCACATCCAGGTCTTCCAGGATGCCCACCACATTTATGACGTGGCGTTCCTCCCCGAGGTTGCCCTTATCGACCGTTTCTTGGCCATCCTTCCGCTCGAGTACCGCTCCGAGTTATGGCGGTACGAGTTCACATCGGCCCCGCAGGCTTACGAGGCCGCCAGGGTCCATCAGCGGATGCGGGCCCGTGTTCACCCCACCTCCTCCTCCCAGCCTCAGCGCACAGGTTACGCCTCCTCCTCATCTCACGACACTTCCCAGCGCCATTCCCCTTTCCGCGGTCGCCCCCGCCGTTCCGCGCAGCAGGGCCGCCACTTCTCGCGCCGCTTCAACGCGCTCGAGTATGGTGAGCAGGACGCTGGTGCCCCGCTGTCGCCAGAGGGTGACCATAGCGACGACCTCGACCTCGGCGAGGCCGTCCACCACCACCTAGAGGACTCAACTCTCCCTATGGCCGAGCGCCTCCAGCTCATCCTCTCTGCCCTCTCCCGGTCACGCAGCCGCCCCGGTCACGCTGGGGCGACGCCCCTCGAAGTCCCTCAGCAGGACCTCCCTCAGGGCTTTGTCCCTCCTCGCGGTGTCCTTTCCGCTGAGGAGCGCGCAACTATTTTGGGCCTGCGTGGGTGCTTGCGCTGCCGCCAGGACGGTCATACCTCCTCACGGTGCCCTTATACCACCGCCCTCGACCGCCATTATGTTGACCTTTCCCGCCAGCGTCGTGCTCAGTCTCCCCCCGACGCCTCTCATCCCCGCGACGCCTCCTAGCCACGGTGCAGTGTACACCTACGCCCTCCTCAATAGCCGGCTTCCCGACATCCCCATCGCGGTTTGCCCCTCTCGCTACTAGAGTTGAGGTCTCGTAGGACCCGACAGAGTGTACTCAGCCCTCTGTCGCAGTACCGTCTGCGCCTCCGCAAACCACCGTCTCCCCTTCTAACCCTCCGCGATTACCGACACGTCGAGCCATTCGCTCAACGCGTTGCAGCGAGCAGCTCGCTACTCGTGAGGACATTGTGTCCTCTCTTCTGGACTTGAGCATGCTCCAGGCTCGTCAGGAGCGACTCACCTGCCATGTCGCTGCACTGCATCGCCTTCTCACCATCCTCTCTGACCCTGATCGCACCCTCCCGATCATTCCAGTACGGCTGGGGACCTCCACGAGGATGTACTCAGCGCTGTGGGATTCCGGTTCCCAGGGTAACTTCATTCACCCACGTGTAGTGAAAGAAGCCCGCTTACCCACGACAGGGTCTCCGACTCCCATCTCTGTTACCCTCGGGAATGACAAGACCCAGCGCTTCTTCGATCAGACGGTCACCGACCTCCCTTTCTTCCTCACTCTCGAGCCGACTGATCGTCCCCCGGCGTCTCGTTGCCACCGCTCCTCTGCACATTTCGATGTGATGGAGACGGGGTACGATATCATTCTCGGCACTCCGTGGTCTCGTCGGTTTCGCAGCACCGAGGCCGATTGGGCGACCAACCCTCTCGTTCTCAAAACGAAGTGTGGACAGACGTATCGCGTACCTTTCATAGGTACCACTGCGACACCACGCCCCGATCCTCCTACCCCGGAGCCTTCCGTGCCCACACCATCTCCTTCTATCACCGTCACCTCGCCTCGACAGTTCGCCCACTTCATCCGACAGGACGACGTCACCTTCTTTATGGTGAACGTGACGGATCTCTTACACTATGATCCACCCTGTCCCGACGCCGATCTCATCCCTCTGGAGCCAGATCCTCCTTCTATCTCCATGGCTCCTATCTTTACTTCCCACCCTCCGTCGTTCGTCGAGTTCACCCGGCCATCGCGCGCTGATGCTGACGCTGAGGAACTCACACGATACACAGTTGACCTAGAGCCCCCAGTTTGTGACCTCATTCGAGAGTACCACGACGTTTTCCCATCATCATTCTCGTACGCCGGCATCCCACCGATGCGCGACGTCGAGCACTCCATCCAGCTTGTGCCTGAMTATCRTGTTCACCACCAGGCACCCTACAGACTCTCGATCCCTGAGGCCACTGAACTCAAGCGTCAGCTTGAGGAGCTCCTGAGACTGGGTTTCATTAAACCCAGCAACTCCCCGTGGGGTGCACTCGTCCTCTTTGCTCGCAAAGTGATGGAAACTCTTCATCTCTGCATCGACTATCGCAGTCTTAACCGCTACACGGTTAAGAACAGCTACCCCATGCCTCGTTCTGATGAGCTGTTCGACCGCCTAGCAGGCAACCGCTTCTTTACGAAGATTGATCTTTGTAGCGGTTACCATCAGATCCGCGTCGCTGCAGCGGACCAGCAGAAGACAGCGTTCCGATCGTGCTTCGGCCACTACGAGTTTACGGCGATGTCTTTCGGCCTCACCAATGCACCCGCTACCTTCAAGAGGGCGATGAACGACATCTTCAGGGACATCCTAGAGCAGTACGTTCTCGTCTACCTCGACGATATCCTGGTCTACATTCGTATCCTTGAGGAGCACCTCAGACACCTCCGCAACGTCCTTGACCGCTTGCGCAGACATGGCTTCTATGCCAAGGTGAGCAAGTGCCGCTTTGCCCAGCACAATGTGGATTTCTTAGGACACTACGTGTTTGACCAGGGTCTCCTTATGGACGACGCGAAGATCACTACTATTGCGGAGTGGCCTGTCCCCACATCCGCCAAGCAGCTTCGCAGCTTTCTAGGCCTTACCAGCTACTATAGTAATTTCATCCAGGGATACGCTAGGTATTCCTACATCCTTACCTCCACCCTCCTCCGGAAGAACCCACCCTGGGCTTGGACACCCCTCCACGAGGACGCCTTCCGCGCCCTCAAGAAGGCGGTGACATGCGCACCGGTTCTTCACCTACCCGATTTTGATTGCCCTTTTATCCTTACCACCGATGCATCAGACTTTGCTGTAGGAGCAGTGCTTTCTCAGATCTTCCCCTCCTCTCCTGATTCCTCTCATCCTCATATCCCTCGCTTCCCACCACCTACCCCTACCACTGCTTCCTGATTGACGCCTACTCGTCCAGCTACTTACGAACCTTCTATTGACTATTCTCCTACCATCGCCGAGGACGACACTGTCGAGTCTCGCTCATGTGATTGTTCGATAGCCTTCTACTCCCATCAGCTCCTGCCCACCGAGATAAACTACACCGCTGATGAACGTGAGGTTCTCGCAGTAGTTTATGTCGCTCGACACTGGCGCCACTACTTGCACGGGGCACCATTCACGGTGCGCACGGACAACTCTGTTGTCGAGGCTTTTCTGACAAAGTCGAAGCTGACTCCTCGACAGGCGCGCTGGTGGCGCGACCTATCCGAGTTTAGTTTCACCACTGAGCACATCAAGGGTGAGACTAATCGGGTCGTAGATGCCTTATCCCGGTGCCCTGACCACGACCAGGAGCAGATCCAGCTCTCTTCTATCTCGGTAACCATCGTCCACCACTCGGTGATCGACAAGTTTCGCACTCAGTTCCGCCACTGCCCCGACTATCGCGACATCCACGCGACCCTTCGGAGTGGCAAGACCGTCCCGAACTACTCTCTCGGGAACAACGGTCTTGTGTACTGACACGGTTCGCAGGGCACCAGAGAGCCCCTTATTTGCATTCCCTCCACTAGACAACTGCGTGTCGGAGTAGTTACAGAGTTCCATGACCAGGCAGCCGCCGGTCATATGGGCTTCCACAAGACGTTGGTTCGTGTGAGCCGCCTGTACGTCTGGCTGAAGCGCAAGGACTTTGTGAAGGACTACGTCGCAAAGTGTCCCACCTGTCAGGAGGTGAACAGTGCGAACCACCTTCCTTATGGTTTGCTCCAGCCTCTTCCTATCCCTGAGGGCCGTTGGCAGTCCATCTCGATGGACTTCATCGGTCATCTTCGTCCTCCGACCCCTCGCGGTCATGATGCTATCCTGGTCGTCGTCGACTGCTTCACGAAGCGTGCACGCTTTGTTCCGTGCCGCTATGCCATCAGTGCACGTGAGGTCGCCGACATCGTGTTTGACCGAGTCGTGCGTGACCATGGCTTACTTCTGAGCATCATATCTGACCGAGACCCGTGCTTTACCAACCGATTCTGGCGACAGCTCCACGAGGTTTACGGCACCCAGCTCCGCTTCTCCTCGTCTTACCATCCCCAGACTGATGGTCAGACGGAGGTCACGAACAGGACTCTCGGAGATATTTTCTGAAAGATTGTTCGTGACGACCAGCAGCGGGATCTTCATCTTGCCCACGCGGAGATAGCCTACAACCACGCCGTCTCGCCAGCCACGGGGATGTTGCCTTACTATTGCGACCTCGGCTATCACCCTCGTGTCCCCGCGGACTTTCTTCGACCGTCACAGATGCACCCCGTCTGTCCCGCACTAGATGATTGGGTTGCACACATGACGTCGATCATGAAGATCGCACATGAGCACATAGCCGCTTCCCGTACTCGCATGGCAGCACGTGCGAACCGATCGAGGATGGATCACCAATTCAAAGTCGATGATGATGTACTTATCGATGCGCGCCACTTACAACTCAGCAGACACGCTTCGCAAGTTTCGACATCGCTTCTTTGGCTCATGCCACATCCTCCAGGTCATCATTTCTGATACAGCTTCTAGCCCGGTCAACTTCCGTGTGAAGCTGGCCGATTACCTACGCCAGGCTCGTGTGTACGATGTCTACCACGTCTCGTTACTGCGTCCCTACCGCAGACCGTCTGAGCATTTCGTCGGACGACCATACGAGCGCCCTCCACCCATCATGGTGGATGGCCACGCGAAGTTCCTCACTTCAGACATCATTGGTCGCCGAGTCACCAACGACAACCCTCCCCACGTCGAGTATCTCGTACGTTGGAAGGGTTACCCTGATGAGGAGCCTACCTGGGAGCCCCTTCAGCACTTGCAGCACGCTCGCATGTTGGTGCGTGCCTATGACTGTGCTCGTCGTGCTGGGTTCATTGCTCCTCCTCAGCCCACTTCACCCTCCTCCTTCTCCCTCGGCTGAGGAGACCGCTGAAGTCGAGCCTGCTCCATCTGAGGCAGACCTTCAGTAGCAGCCTGATGTTTCTGAGCGTCCACAACGCACTCGTCGTCGTCCTGCTCGATACGACGATTGACTCTGACTTACCTTCCCACGTCTTTGACTTCTCAGTACTCCATCCATATCAGTTT